GCAGTAAGCCAGAAAGAGAAAGGTAACTTTCCTTGGAATGAAGTAACACATAAGAATTAGGGTTTTCAAACATCCTTTAAGTCTGATGCTAATGAAGTATGTGTTGAATGAGTAGATAGGGAGCTGGATCGAAAACTGGCTGGACAGCCAGACCCAGAGAATGCAGGCTAGCTGGAGGCTAGTTAACAGCAGCGTACCCCAGTGATCAGTGCCGGATCCAATCCTGTACTGTCCTCATTAGTGAGCTATGCAATGGGCAGAATGTACCCTCAGCAAGTGTGCAGAAGACACAAAACTGGGAGGAGTGGCTTGCTCTGGCATACTATAGATGCTCTGTCTTGCTGCTATCCATCTGAAGAGACCAGGATGGGTGGCAGAAGTGGGCTAACAGGAATCCCTCTAAGTTTAACAAGGAGAACTTCAGCGTCCTGTATATGGGGAGGATCAGCTCCAGGCACCAGGACGGGCTGAGGGGAATCAAGCTGGAAAGCTGCTCTGTGGAAGAGGGCCTGAGGATTCTAGTGGAAACCAAACTGAACACGAGTTAGCAATATGCCCTTGCACCAAAGAAGACTAGTGGTATGATGGGCCACATTAGACGAAGTATCTCCATCAGGTCAGGAGAAGTGCTCCTTCTCACTGTGTCAAGTGCTGTGCTCCCCTGTGCAAGGGAGATGTGGGCACTCTGGAGAGCATCCAACAAAGGGCTGCCAAGACGAGGAAAGGACTGGAGCATCTCTTCTGTGAGGAAAGGCTGAGAGAGCTGGGACTGTTCAGCTTACAGAAAAAGAGGCTCCAGGGATCTTACCAATGTACATAAATGCCTGAGGGGACGGTGCAGAGAGCTCAGAGCCAGGCTCTATTCACTGGTGCCCAGGACATGAGGCAGAGGGTACGTGCTGGAACAGAGTTCCCATGTAAACATCGGAAATGTTTTTTTACTTTAAAAGGTGACTGAGCACTGACATTGGTTTTCCAGAGAGGTCATGGAGTTTCTCTCCTTGGAAATATACATTGTCCTGGACATGGCCCTGGACACCCTGCTTTGGGTGTCCCTGCCTGAGGTGGGGGTTGGACCAGATGGACACAGAGGTCCCTGCCACCCTCAGCTCTGCGACTCTGAGAAAGAATTAAGAAGATACTTTGACCAACATATGCACAATCTTTGTAAGCTGGAAACAGGATAAACTGACTCTGGCAATTGGGAAAAAAAAGAGAACATAGGTTGAATTCAGCTGAAAAACTGGATATAATACCTAATGAAAGGTATAATTATATCTCTGAAAGACAACTGCCCAAATATTTTTGACGGCCAAATTAAAAGGTTCTTAAATGAAACTGCATGCAGCAATAAGATGCTAACTTGTTCTTTATGCTCTCTGCCCATGCAAGTCACAGTAATTTTTTCTGAGGGATACAAAAAAATCAGCTTCACATACAATTTTAAAGAAGTCTAAGAAAACTGGCCATTGAATATAAACTAACAAGTTGATACGTGTAAATCACAGAACTTTTAGATATCCCATTTTTTTTTACCCTTAATTTGCTATTAGTAGTTAATGTTCTCTGCACAAAACACAAAAACACACCTATTTCACATATACTGTATATAAAAAGCCATTTGTTGCTACAGCAATTACCAATCCGAATTTTCTAGCCTCTCTTAAAAGCTATACTGCACCGTGTATCTATGGTATAGATCTAGCCCAATCCAGACAGACTACTATTTGATTGTTTCAACATACTGTTTTGCATATAAGTTTGAAAAGTCTTATTAACTTGAGTTATACCCACTCAGATTCCCAGGGTGCAACTCATTTAACTAAAAGAGGATTCAGCCCTTTCATCAAGTGTGTCTTACCTTGTGATCTTCCTTCCTGAATTAGACTGGCTCAACAAAAATGATTTTTAATACTACCAATGTCTTGACAGTACATAGACTTAGATGGTGTCTCAGTAGTTATATTTGATTCAATATACCAATTAGCATTTAAAAGCTGGCAGTAGTTACAGCAAACACTCTAACAGACAGTTATTTTTATTAAGATTTCTATCATGACTTGCTTTATGCAAAGAACTGACATGGAGAATTTACCACATCTTTTAAAAAGCATGTCTTTATACATACCACATAAACCTGTTGTAGATGCAAAATAGAAAAGGACCGAGATTCTCTCTGCAGCTGGTTTAATACATTTAAAGTAAAACAAACAAGAAACATCTTGGCTTATGTAATGAAGTTTGGAAAACCACTCCAAGTAATTAGCATTTCATTATATCTATTTAATAAGAGTTTATTTAAATTCAATCAAGTGATATATGCCTCATCTCCATAAAGGAATTGCACTGAAAATAGATCTGTTATAAGAGGAGGTTGGAAATGGCCTCTTCTTCCACAGAGACCAGGATGAATTTCCCCACGTCCCCTGGTGGTTCCTCAGCACAATGGACACCTATTCTGAGAGCATCATAAAAGCCTCCTAACGCTGCATGCTAAGGAGAGTTTTCTTCCCCTTCCTTTGTCCTGCACAGGAATCCACTTGGAAAGACAGTATAGCTTAGTGAAGTCTTAGGCTTGATTTCAAATAAAGTTGTACAGGAATTTATTTTCACACGTAATAGAAATAAATGTTAATGCACTGGATGCTTTCTGAAGTCCTGCTCAGTATTTGGCCACTTACTCCAGGTAATACACAGGTCACTTGTCAGCATGCTGCCTAGAATCAGGGACACTAATTTAAATGCTTGCTCCTGAATTTCTGCATAGAAGATGAACATCATTATATGTAAAAGTTATCCCATTAAAACAGCAGGAACTACTCACACATACATGCATTAAGAACATATGTGCAAGTCCTTGCAGGATTAAAAAAGGCAGGAAGCAACAGGTTGGGGCAGCAAACATGGGTGGAAGGGCAAATAAAGTGACAGAAAGACGTGGTTATGTGGGAGGGTGCACACACAGCTCACAAATCTGATCATATTTTAAGACCTGATTTTAAAGTTTGCCCTTGCTTTAATCAAATACGATGCTTGTCATAGCTCCTTCCTGAAGCATTTGCAGCCCCAGTGCACATCATCAAGAACTCACTAACTTTAAATCATGACGCCTGAGCACTAATACAACACTCTAGATTATGTCACTGCTCCTTAATTTTTTACTGCTTAATCTTGTACTGAACAATGGTTAGCACAGTTTGTCACGCTTTTATGAACATGCCATGCTCACCTTATGTGAGGAGCACAGAGGCAGTGAAGAACCAGTACAAAGCCTAAAACTCAACTGGTCCTCGTTAAAAGCAGCATACAGTCAATTCACCAGCAAGAGAAATGAGTGAAATTGAGTACAGCTTGAATGTGTATTTATAGTGGAGAGTGTAATGCAGAGTAATTACTCAGTGTAACAACTCCTGTAAATGATGCTTTGTCAGTAATGACCAACTTTCATTAAGAGCTCTATTTTGAAGAAGTAAGTTCAGGAACTGAAGAAAGAGGAAGAAAAATTCATAGCTGCAGAGCAGCCTTTTGTGTACAGTTAAATAAATTAAGACATTGACCTAATATTACCTAATATTTAATTAAAAAAAAAAAAAGATGAAAAACAAAAGTATATTACTCTACTGGTCATAGAACAAACTGTGCATGGATTGTGCAGAAACAACCATGGTCCTTCTGAAGAAAAAGAGATGATGCTCTGCTAGCAAATATGTATCATCCCTCCCAAAATATAAAAGAGAATATTCTTACTTGCAAAATAAATATGCAGGTTGTTCAGCCACAACCACATCCAGAACATGAAAAATGTAATACCCAAATGTTTGGTTTACTACAAAAAATATGGAATGCTCCACTATCCGATCAGAAGAAATAAAAATAAAACTGTAACGGTCCAATTTCAAAACAGTTCTTAACAGTAAAGTGCCAGATTAATTGGCACTGTTGCACTAGTTTGTAAGGCTTCAGTTGTACAGACGAACAGCAACCATCACCACAAATGGGAGAAGCTGCCAGAAAGCTGACCCTAAAAATAGGAAGATAAAAAATAACCCAAACTCTCTGAATATCAGCCAGTTATGCACTTTATTCAAACAAGGCCTCAATTTACGGGGAACCACAGGGGGACCCAGCAGCAAACTGCTCATCTCATGGCCTCTCAGTATGATATCTCACTCTTGTGAACATTCATTTAAAATGAATTCTCAGGGGAAATGTTAAGGTATGCTGATGTGCGCTCTGCCATGGGAAAGGCGTACGGTAGTGGAGCTAATTTTATCCTCTGCAGTTGAAAACCCCATGTCTCCCAACAGATTGCTGGGAGGTGGAGTTTCTGTGCATATTTTTCTCTCTGAGGTTGGCCTCTTCCTCAGTTTGTATTACCATTTTGCTATTTGCTTTCTTACGTGTCTGCAAACTCAGTCACCTCACACACCAACCTCTCTGGAAACACGGTTTTAGCTGCTGATGACAAGACTATGGAAAAGCAGCCTCGTGTTTCTCTTCGGCACACCGGTATGGGAATAACTGTCTTGGTTTCTTGCAGCCACCGCAGAGCAGGGAGCAGCTGAGAGTCAGCACTTCCCTGGGACGCGCGAGTTCACGGCCAGGAGCGACACTGCGACGGCCAGTCACTGAACGCTCATTTCATTGCGAGGGGCACAGGGGAACAAACTTCTTTTACATCAAAGCGGTTATTTTTTTTCTTTCCGTAGATGAAAAGGTAAAAGTGAAAAAAGCAAAGCGAAGGATGCCTCTGCCGTGCCGATACCCCACGTAAGCCCCTCTTTCCCAAGCGCGGCAATCCGTCCCTCGGACCCTCGTGCCGCTTCGTGCGCAGGAGCCCCAGCACCATCACAGCTCCGCCGCGGACACGGACTGCGCCGGCGGCGCACCGCTCCGCGCCGCCGCACCTCCGCGGAGGAGCCGCGCCCCGCTGCGCCGTGCCGCCCTCCCGGCGGCCCCACCGAGCAGCTGCCCCGCGCAGCACGGCGGACGCCTCTCACCTGTTGATTTTCAGGGCGAACGCCCTCCGGTCAGCGGCGGGTAACGTCGCCATGCGGAGGGCGCAGGAGTCGACTGCACGCACGGCAGGGTGCCCGCCTCGGTGCTTTTATCGGTGCTGCATGCTGCAGGCTGCAAAGCCGGAGGCCGTCTGACAGCTCCGGCTGGCAACTTCCGCGTTTCACCTTCCTCGCCGAAATCGAGCGAGGTGGGAGGGCTCAGCCGCCCGCGCCGCCGGCTCCGACCCGCCGCGCCCCGCTCCGCGCCCGGCACCCCCTGCCCGATCCCGGACCCTTTGGAGGATTCCGAGGGGAAGCGCGGATCTGGGCGAGCGCACCAAGGAGGGGAGGCACCTGCGGAGGAAGGCGGCTACAGATCCCATCGCGCATCCCCGGACCGAGCCCGTCTGGGTACCGCGGTGTTGGTGTCACGCACCCACACACTCATCTGCCCTTCACGGTCGTGGGAGTAACCGAGATCGCTTCTCCATCGCCCGGCACGTGCGTGTAAGGTTTGGGCAGGCAGTCGTAGCGAGGTGCGTTAGGAGTGCGTTAGAGTTGGTACCTGGTTAGTGGGCACGTGCGTGCTGCCTGCAGCAGGTGTAGCCCCTCCTGCAAGGACCGACTGCCTCATGTGCAGCGTGAATTTGTAGGCTTGCAGCCTGCGACGCCACGACTTATGATATAAATAGATGCCAGTTCTTTATCTGGAACAGTTTTGCCAATACAGACATGCACCACGAGTATGACTTCTTACCATTAAAGTAATTGATTGCAGAAGGAAAACCCACACATACCAACACCGCATACCAGTCAAGTTTGGCACAATGCAGGCTGCGCTACTGTATGCTTCAACTTCACTTGCAGCTCAGCTTTTAAAGGGTTTTAAAGTAAGTATCTTGTGGTTGTGTTGCAAAGTGATGTTTCCTCCTGGTGTGTTCCTCTCAGCCTTGGTGCAAAAAAGCCCTCGCTGCTTTTGCAAAATAAGCAGAACCCAGGATTAATTGAAAGGGAAAACAGAAACCAAAAAAAGGGCCTACAGATGGATTCTGAGATAGCAGAGGCAGTTCTAGGCTGTCCTATTTTCATGAAATACCTGCCTTGGTACAACCACCTGTTGGAAGGCAGCGCTGCTTGCCTGTCCATTCCCAGTGTGCTGAGGAGGTTATCTAGAGAACAGAGTGACACATGGCAAGGAATGTTAGATTATCATACAGTGAAGGTCTGAAATTTTATCAGTGACAATTATCTTTTATTCTTCAGGATTCACTGACTCTTAGAGCACTATTTGTACAAATGTATGTAAATATGAACGTCAACCCACATGGTCTTCAAAGAGCACTGGCTACATGTCCTTGCAGAAGCAGAGAAACACAGAAGAACTGAAAGATTTAACAGAAGTAAATGTTAAAAAATTGAGAATATGAACAAATATAGATAACTTTGTAAGAAAAAACATAAAAGGATCTACAGAAGAATGAGATCTCAGAGACAAGTCTGAAAACTGAGAAAGAAAATACTGAAATGCATTATTACTAGGCTGGTACTAACTGGAAAAGGATTGCAGTGGGAAGAATAAATTAGCAACCTTTTTGGACAGAACTTACCTACCACACCCATCCTTTATTTACGTCACCAAGATAAAGCTAAAAACACTTACTGTTAATTTGAACTTAGTTATCACTTGTTTATAAATCACTCATAGCTATGATCTGGCGTATGCGTTGGTCTCAAGAAAACTTGGGCACCAGAAATACTGGACGTGGCAAGATAGTGCTTTGTACTGCCTTACTTCTTTGCACTTCCATGTGTCTGCTGGAACTTGATCCCCACCTTCAGAATTCTTCCCAGTGCACAGCCCAGCTGCAGCTTTAGTAGATGTATTACTGACACGCAAAGAAAAATGTGCAGTCTGCTCTTGGACAGGCCAGGGCAATCTGGCTGTGGAAAAACAAGAACAGTGAAACATTTTTTAATAAACCCTTGCCATTTTAATGGATGCATTCATTTTTGAAAGCCTAATTTGATGCAAATTGGCACACACAGTTGAAACAAAACACACAATGTTTGATGTTTCCTAGAGCACTTGGTATGCATTTCTTACCTACAGTAGCTGGAGTCAGGGGCCTCAGCACTGCTGAAAGCTACACATCTGAAATCAACTGAAACACTTAATTCAGCACTGTGGCCTCTCCTGAAGACTTTCTTTGATCCTACGTGAAATTAATGTACGGAAGGCCAACGTTCATTCCTCCTGTTTGGTTTTTAGAATTTTAGTTTAGAAAGTAATATAAACCATTCTCTCCTTAGGATGACAGAAAATAAACACCAGTTTGTTGTTTTTCTTTGCTGTCCAGACCCACTGCAGGACAGGCAAGAGACATTTCTTATGTACTCTTCACACAGGTTGAGAAGGTCTCTCTCAGGACAGCATCATTCTATCTCCTGTGTAAAAGAAGGAACAGCGGAAGAAAAATTTCAATGTGCAGTTTTTCACTAGTGCAAGGTCATTGCTATCATATGCAATTACTTTCTGGTAGCATTATAGATAACCTGTCATTAGAAGAGTTTCTCCTCCACAGAAACCAGGTTTCCTGTTTCTCAAAATATTGCTTCTGAAAAACATGATCATCTTTATAATTGTTTAATTTCAAAAGCTTCCATGAAACTACACATTTTCTAACCATGCCTCTGTTTCTAGCAGCTCACAAATGAAGGAGGAGGAAAGGAATGAAAAATAAACAGGTAGCTCCTTTAACCATTTCATGCCTTGTCTGGCTCTAGACAGTAAGACAACAGTCTGGGCATTAAACAGGTATGTTTCACATCTGTCTTTCAGTTCACTGCAGACCAAAATGGAAGGGATTGGACTTTCCCATTCTTTCTTTACTGAGGCCTGTGGTTAATTGGGTTTGGGGTGTTGCATTTGTTTTTTTGAGAACATGAAGATGTTTCTGTTTCTAGCTGTATCTCCAGAACTGCTAACTGCTCAGGAAGAAATCACTACCTCAGTTTTGATGCTTCATCGTAACAGCTCATGTGGTACCTACTAAATTTGGCAACAGAAAATGAGGTAGCCTCAATAAACATATCAGTCTCACAAATACACTTATTTATGAATTATGCAACTATTTATTTTGCAGTTTCCCACATTTTTGATAAAGAAAGACAAAAAGATAATTCAAAAATGTTTTGTCTAATGCAGAAAAAAGAACACCTGAGGAGACACATAAAACTAGGTTTCCAGGACTGCTATCAGCAGCTGTAGACCAAATACTTAGATTATCAAAAGTTTTTGTGATGAACTGAATTACCAGCAGCCTACTTCAGCATTTTGAGCAGCAAAAGTCACTAAGTCCCATTCTTTTTCATCTATTATTTTAGCATGCTATTGCTTTTTTTGGGGGGGGGGGGGGGGGAAAGAAGGAAATTCCATCGAGAAAGTTTACATGTTTTTAACTCATTGAGTTACTATCATATGAGATAGACTTCTTTTTTTTTTTTAAATCATCAGAGCCAATCTTGTCAATACTACTGCTTCAGCTTAGTAACAACTACTGTTGTTTGAATTCTTGGAACTAAGGGGTTCTCCAGGGGTCTGCACTGGGTGGGACCAGTGGTCCTCAACATCTTTATAAATGACTTGGGCTGCGTGGTGCAATTAATACAACAGAAGGAAGGGATGCCATCCAGAGAGACCTGAACAAGCTTGAAAGGTGGGTCCACATGTACTGAACTGAGATTCAATAAGGCTAATCATGCGTGGGACAATCTCAGGTACCTATACTGACTGGGAGAAGAATTCACTGAGAACACCCTTGCAGAGAAGTTCTTGGGGGTTCCGGTGGAATGAACAGCTGAATATGAGTCAGCAGTGTGCACCTGCAGCCCAGAAGGCCAACAGTATCCTGGGTTCTACCAGAAGAGGGTGGCCAGCAGGGACAGGGATGGAATGTCTGCCTCTGCTCTGCCCTCATGAGTCCCCATCCAGAGTAATGCATCCAGGTCGGGGACCCCCAGCACAGAAAAGATGTGGAACTTTTCAAATGGGTGCAGAGGAGAACCACAAAGATGATCAGAGGGATGGAGCACCTCTCCTACGAAGACAGGATAAGGAAGGTGGGTTAGTTCAGTCTGGAGAAAATAAGGAGGCGGGGAGATCGTAATGCAGCCTTCTGGTACTTAAAACGGAGATTTTAAACAAGAGGGAGACTGACTTTTTACACATGCAGATAAAGACAGGACAAGGAGAAATGTTTTTAAACTTAAAGGGGAGATTTAGGTTAGTTATGACAAGGGTCAGAGTGATAAATCACATGAACAGATTGTTCAGAGAAGCTGTGGATGTCCAGTCCGTGGTGGTGCTCAAGGCCAGGTTGGATGGACCCTTGGGCATCTACATCTGGAGAAGGGCAATACTGCTGATGGCTGGGGATTGTAATTAGATGATCTTTGAGGTCCCTTCCAACACAAGCCATTCCATGATTCTGTGAACTAATAAACTTATTGTATATAATTTTCCAATCTTTCCAATCAAGAGATGAAAAAAAGGGTCATCAAACCAAGTGCCAGTGAAAGCAGCAAACAAACAAACAAACAAATGCAAACAATGAATCAATTAAACAAAAACACACAATCAAAATAAATAATTTATCTTGGAACACATCACAATTTCCCAGACCTGGCTTGCTTGGTATCAGCTCTTGGGGGTCTTGCATACAGTGCGTAGAAACCATGCTTTCATTCCCTATTTCCTATTCCACACCTTCCACAGGCATCCCAAACTGTCATCCTAATGATCGCTTTCTCCCACATGCACATTTCAGCCCTCCAAAAAGACATAAAGGCATTAATTCCTCTGATCCCACTGCATTTTCAAATGTTCTCTCTGTGTTTTCCTTTTATTGCTGCAGCCTGACCTGAAGGTGGGGCAGTGCTGCTGGTTGGTTGGTGTGGCTGGGCAGGGTGAGGAGCTTCAGGCTCAGCCTCATAGAATGGAAGGGTGGCTTGGGTATGTGCTGCCAGGCAGGACTGCTACTGCTGTGTAACATTTTGAGAGTTGGCAAACAGGGGTCTGCGAAATGCTAGAACAGACAACAATCAACATGTCTATACACCATCTTCTGGGGGCTTTTTTTTTCTGTAACTGTGCACATTTCCAAGCATCTTTTTGCCTAAAACTTGTTCTAGCAGTCAATTGTCTATTGACAGTCGTATCCCAGCAAAGCATGCTATTGCATGACAGAGTATTACAGTGCCATGCCTACCATTAAACACAACTTTGTGGCCCAGGATAGTCAGGAATGGTGAAGCCCTGCTGAACCTCTAAGCATGCCCTGCTATCTGCAGAGCATATACCTTTGATGCCCTGTTTTCTCAGTATCCTCTGTAAGTCTGCATTCTCAACAAAAAACACCAGCAGTATACATCAGTAATGAGCAACTGTTAGCCGATTAGCTTATGAGTATATCGAAGTTTGCACCAACAGGAAAACTGTTATTACCTCAGTATGTGCCAGCAGAAGACAATGCCTGATAATGTTTGCTAATATAACACCTCCTGCAGCACCGCTGGCTAATGAAGGAAGTGCAACTAGATGCTTTCCTGCTAAGGGAAGCTGCGATGTAGTCATGTGTACTGCTCACAATGACATAAATCTCAATTGCATCCAATAATGTTTAGCAGGATAAAATGCAGAAAATATGTGAACTTGCCTTCTACTGATGTCTGCAATAGATTGGTAAAGAAATTCTGAACCTTAAAAAAAATAAATAAATAAAAATTGAAGTTTCATTTCTATGTTGGTGAAACAAGACAGAGGGAACTTAGACCATCCTGCATTTTTTTTTGTTTGTTTTTTTGTTTTTTCTTCCTCATGAAACAGCTGATTCTAGAAAGAAAGCAAAAAGCTGTGTGAAAGCATGGCTTCTTTTTCCATCCATCTGGCCAAATAATCCAGAGAAATAAAAATATTCCTGACCGAATTCTCAGTACAAAGTTTCTCAAAAGAGACAATTTTCTTTGCTTACATTCACAACAAAACCTCAATGGAAGCAACACTGATAGGTATTTTTTTCCTTTTTAACCATGATCCACTTATATGAAATTAGGCAACTTGCTAGGTTGTGTATGTCAATATTTAAATTTGGGCTATAATCTGTACTTTTATTCAAATGTTCTCAGTTTCATTAAAACACGTTACAGCCTAACAACATACTGTGCACAAGGCATAAAAAACGGAATGTTAAGAAGTAGAGGTACTGACTAAAGGAATGCTGGTGTTTTTAAAACTTTTGTTTTCATGCACAGTATGTGAATGATGTATTCTTCACACACAACAAAAAAATCCAACAGTTTCATTTTTTTAAGGCAGCTTATATTCAAAAACCAAAGCCCTCTTTGCAGCACCATGTGGGCAGAACTGTACCTCAGTACAGAACCTCGCTGAAAAGCAGCAGCTAAAGGCGACAGGATCATACCTGGGTCAGGTCAGGCTTCTGTAAGCACATGCTGGTGACACAGACTATGTTTTATGTCAGAAATCTATCACAGTATTTGCAAGATCTGGGTCAGTATTCTCAAGCATAGATGTATTCCCATAAGGCTTTCAAATCCTGTTTATCTGTTTATTTTCTGTGTGTCCACACTGGATGTGATAGAAACATCCAGCAGTACATATGTACCAGTTGTCACGAGAAGATGTCAACCTAAATACAGGGAAGAAAATAAGAGTCGAACAGAAATACCGAAACACTGACCACAGGTAAGAAAGAAGTAAGTGTATCCAGGGGAGTATGTAAATGACACTGAAGTTATGCCCCTGCTCACCACTATATATTTTGAGATATGCATGGGACTGTTCAGCAGCTACTGAACTGATCACAAAATTGATTTTAATTTCTACTTCTTTGTGGTTTTGCGGATTGATGCCCATCCACAGGCCTGGCATCAGATTTCATCTGGGACTCACTCCTCTGGAACACTGAACTACACTGTACTATACAGACTATCAATACCTTGAGAAAAATGTCCTTCTACAGAAAGTTATATTCTATGCAATAAAGAAATGCCAATGATCTTCTCTCCCTGTTGTTTCAATCACATCAGGCTCTCATTGCTACTGTATCACATATCAATAACTCGCAATCTTTCACAACACTCCTCAGTGTGTACTCTTCCTCATTCTCATGGATCTTACAGTCCTGTTCCCTAATTCTCCTCAAAGAGTAACAGCCTGAACAAACAGTTTTTACCACTGTCTAAACCAGTCTGAAACAAACTGCTCTGCTTTTGCTGAGATCGTCAGTACTTGCGAAGGCACTACCTTATTTCAGTTGCAGCCAAAACCATTTAAACTCACAGTTAAATATGACTTCCTGGAATCTATCAACATTATACTGCTTTCTGATAGTGTTTATTTGGTCTACAAATGCCTTAGAATAAAACACTCCAACACTCCAACAACCAAAAACCAACATGTTTTTGGTTTACTACGTTCATTTTAGCTGCCACCACAACAAAACCTTTATAAGGTTTTGCATTTAGCTTCATAAAGTAGACTTTATGACACAGTTCAACAGAAATTCAAGGACAGCTAATACAGCAAAATTCTAGTGTTTAAATATAAACTTTGAAGAAACCAAAAGGAAACTCTAAATCCACATTATTTACTTTGTGTGATTTTGTTCAAAAGAAACATAATGAGCTGTGTCATGTGAACTAATGAAAAGCAGAACTGCCCGAAGAGCCAGCACATGCCTCATCACCTCTTTTTTTCCCCAGAGCCAGATGTCTCACTGACATGTAAATGAAATGTCAGTATTGCTACTAGCTTGATTTTTGAAAGGCGATTTACAGCCTTTTATATGCTCTGTCATGCTACTGTGTCAGTTCCCAACCTCTCTGACTATTCTTCCTTTCCACAGCTTTCTCATGGCAAATATTTTTCTTAATCAGTCCCTTTATAATACAGCTGAGAAAAAGAGCAGATTCAGGCGAGAAGAAACATACTTTGGAATTTACTTTAAGAGTTCCAACTACAGTTTTGAAAAAGATTGAGTTTTTCCTTTAAAACATAGTATGTCAAGTGAGAGTAAAATGCAGAAAGATGCATCACACCATGTATTGGTCCCGACTCTACAAACTGCACACCTGCCCCGATAGCGAATGGATGGGATTCAGTGCCTTCCATGGGTAAGGCAAGAGAAACTCCACAACTGATTTCTGTCAGCTATGCTTCTTCATCAAAAACATCATTCTGACAAGTGTTTTAACCTATACAAATATTAGAAGATTCAAAGATGAATACTAAGTGCATTTGCTCTTGTACAAAGAGACGGACGAGGTTAAGAGAAACATGCTTCTGTGCTCAGAGCAGTGCTACTTCACCTACAGACCAGAGCACCACACCGGGGTTTTAATATCAGGCAAATCACTTTTGTGCCTCACCTTCCCCCAGCATCATTATATTTAAATCTTCTGGCACTAAGTGACGGAGAAGGCTGTTTTACCTTTTTACTAAACCCGCGCTCTATAAAAAGCTGTGGAGCTTCCAACAGCTAAAGCACCCGTAAGTATCACATACGCGTACACTGCCTCAGAATACCGAATGGAAGCAGAATAAGCTTACGCTCAGATTTTAGCTTAATGTTATTTGATGACGACGCACAGCTACTCCACGTGAGACTTTCCACGGAAAAGTCAGACGTGAAATAAAGCCCCTCACAAAAGCTGTGCAGCACTGCCTTCTGCCTCCCAAGGCAGCCCTCACGCCGCAGCCCCCGCCGGCAGCGCGTGCCGTCAGGAGCAGATCCGGCACTCTTTTTCCCGAAGCAGCCGAGGAGCTAGCAGCATCACAAAGACGCTACCGCCAGCTCCCGGACTCCCCCGAGCGAGGCGAAGCGCTCCGTTAGCGGCCGGCTGGCAGACATCCCGCGCAGCACCCATCCGCACCCACCCAGACGAGCGCAACCCCGGCCGCGGCTCCGCTGTTGCGCATGCGCGGCAGCGCGGAAGCCACGGCCCTGAGTTCGACGCGCATGCGCGAAGGCGCACAAGGCGTGGAGGAGTGCGCTGCCGCGCATGCCCGCAGCGGGACGCAGGCGCGTGACGCGCCGTCTGCGCGCCGTCTGTCCCCGGTCCCATATGGAGGATGAAGACTGCCCCGAGCTGGTGCCGATAGACCTCGGCGTCGTGCACGACAGCGAGCCTGGCTCCGGCAGGAAGATCCCCGTGACCATCATCACGGGCTACCTAGGTGAGGAGCGGGCGGCTTCCGGTGCGGGAGCTTGCTGTGTGCTCGGCGATGGCGCGGCTGATGGCTGCGTGCCGCGAGTGGCGATGGCGAAACGGAGAATCCGGGCTCGTTCTGTTAATGAAAGTGAATTGCTCGGAAAAGACTGCCCGCTGAGGGACTTACAGCTGAGCAGTTAGCGAGCGGGACGGTCTGCTGTGGGTGGGCTTTTTTTGGTCGGTATTTTATTTTTGTTTTCCAAAGTGGGATTTAACGTGCCAATAGTTCTGTGAACTCTCCTTCAAATATATGTACGGACCAGTACACAAATGTATATATTTCGTAGTATTAGTTCTCGTTCTTTTGCATGGTGTGTACTTCTAATCTGAAAATTCAGCCGTTTTGTAGCAGTTTAATGGCAGCGCTGCCTGTGTTTCAGGTGCTGGGAAAACAACGCTTCTGAATTACATTCTGACTGAGCAGCACAGTAAGAGAATCGCAGTGATACTGAATGAGTTTGGAGAAGGTCTGTAAACCTGTAGGAGCATTTTTGATATTTATCTTGAGCTGCAAAAGACGTGTAAAGCTTCTGGAAATCGAGAACATTGATGTTTTCAGTTTGTTGCTGGAATTAATGTCATACCTCAGCCTTGAGAAAAGCAGGAAGACTTTTGGCTGAACTCTGTGGTATTATGTGTTACACGGTTCTGTACATAAATTCAAGTCAAGCAAATGAGGCTGTTGCACTGCTAGAAGTATGGTACGTCTGCTTGGCCTGCTCATTCTGAAGCAGATGAAAACTAAAATGAAATGTCGGTGGATAATGTCTTCTTTGCCTGTTAAAGAACACAAATTATCTTAGATCAAGAAAATGAGGAGGTACTTGCGTGGTCTCTATGTTTGACTTTTTTGCTTCCTTGCTTGTGGGACTTTTGGCTGCCAGAGCTGTCATTTCCTGTCTGCACCATACGGTTTGCACTATGATGATGATATGTGTTGTTTGTATATGGTTTTGGTTTTTTTCATATGCACATCACTTCTGGTCACGGAGCCTTAAGCTACAGAAGCAGGGCCTGTATGTGATATAGGGATAGAAGCTGACTTCTTCATTCTAACAGAATTGTTACATCTTGCTTGTCAGTTGGGTTTTCACCTTTGTAGAACCACTTTATAATCCCAGAACAAAACATACGCCTTTCATGTCTCCTTTGCAGGTATCCTTTCACAACTGTTAGATTCAAATTATATTTGTTCTCTTTTCAGGGAGTGCACTGGAGAAATCCTTGGCAATTAGTCAGGGAGGAGAACTCTATGAAGAATGGCTGGAGCTAAGGAATGGCTGTTTGTGCTGTTCAGTAAAGTAAGGAAGGATTAATGTGCAAGTTCTCCATAATGGGTTTTGGGGGAGTTGAGGAAAGGAGAGAAGATAAAGGACAAATTCATAAAGCTGATGCCAGTGTTGATAGTGACTTATTTTTTAGAGGAAATTAATTGGAATTTGCTAAATAGACACTTGTTTCCCTCTGATGTGTTACTGGATTTGGACTTAACATCTTTCAGAAAAATGTTTTTCCATGCAGTAGTTGGGTATTACAGGGTAAGGAGCTCTGCCTTCTGTTACTACTACATGCTCTTATACTGAGTGCTAAATATTCAAGAATGCTGGATGTAGGACTCAAGTGAAATACTTAAGCTATACTTCTTACTCTGTTGGTTAATATTTGAGTATTTTGTAGCTCAGAAGGGAGACAGAGAGCCTCTGTAAGGAAACAACATTCCTAATTGTAAACAGGTGGTTATGTTAAAACAGCATTGTATTCATGTTTTTTGTTTTTTGTTGTTGTTGGATTGTTTGTGTTAAATTTCTAAGAAAGCTGGTGATCTGTTGGCACTGAAAATTTGAAAGAAGTAGTTGTATACCTTACAATGGGACAGTAAGACAAAAACAGAAGGTCTTATTGCACTGTGTTGTGTACTGGTAGATAAAGAACACAGTTGTTACTGCTTTTTTTATATACATATGTATATCATTTTACATATGATACCTTTTTACTTAAGCAGCTGAGATTTAAGTAAATAACACATCCTGATCCCTCCCAAACCAAAAAGTTACACATTAGCATAACCTTGCTTTGCTGTGATTTCAGTGTTTGAAGATTAATATTTATTTAAACTGCTGTTGTTATAGCCTTGGGGAGGGCACAAATGCTTTTCAGACCAAAATAAAACTGATGGCTGTTGTTTGCCTCTGTTTGCTTAATACTGGAACAGCAGCTTGGTGACTGAATTTTAAGTGTAGTGTGTGTAGATCCTGACTCAGACCTTTTGCTTTGATGATATTGTCATTGGGTTCTGCATCAGCACATGGATAAGTCTGTTCATATAAAACATGTGTAAGCATGTTTTACTTGTTTTTTCTATTCTCAGGTTTAATTGTTTCTTTTGCAGGGACAATGGTGTGAAGGCTATTGAGAACCTCATGCAAAAGAGAGGAAAATTTGACTATATTTTGTTAGAAACAACTGGTTTGGCAGATCCAGGTAGTTTACATTGTGTATGTTTTTTCGTAACCATTATAATTCACCTGTTTTTATCAAGTGTTTATTTGCACAGCAGTCACTTCACCATTCAAGATGTATTGTGAAGTGGTAAGTTTTCAACCACCTGTGTAGGTTGCTGTATAGAGTAAAACTGGTCAAAGGAATGGGTGCACAGACAAAATTGTGGTTGTTGTAATTAAACTTTTAGCTTTTAAATTTAACGCTTAACAGAAATCCAGTTAAAATAAATCTGTGTTGAAAAAGTATCTGATAAGTCTTGGAGAAGGACATGTTAAAACTAGCAGCTTTCAGTAAGTTTTATTTCTGTTCCACGTTGCTCTTTCCAAAGTATATGTTATTTGTCATAGCCTTTGTGAAGTCTAAAAATGTGCTGCCAAACAGACTAATGCATTGTTTTGATAGGTACAGAACAATAATTCCTTATGTGCTGGTCAGTGATTTTTGTTATTAAAAAGTGATAGCAACCTCAACAGTTTTCTCTGAACCAGATCAATTAAAAGCATGTTATTGTTTGAAAGTGAAGGAAATTCTTACTGACATTTAAGCTGTTTCCTATTTGGTAGACTAACACTTTCCAGCTCAAACCTGAATAGTTGTCACAGTGATTTTATTTAAAAGAAAGGACATTGATATGGCCTCTGTTACGTACAAATCCTATGTACAAAGGATTTTGAGGGGTCCAGTCCAACTTCTAAAAGCAGATAAGCTAAATGATAAGGCCAGATCTCTCAGGATATTCAGTCAGGTATCCCATCCTCTGAGAACTGGGAAGACTGCATTTCTAGTCAGCTGATCGTGTGCTTGTCTTTTCATGCTGAGAAAGCATTTTTGTGATACCTGTGATCTGAACCCCTCAGCTTAATGTTGTTATCTCTAATCTTTCTGCCATGTAACGCTATGAAAAACTTCACTTAGTCTCCTGAGTGTCTTATCTTTGATGTTCAAGATGGCTGCTGTTAGCTCCCATGGAAACTTTTCTGTGTAGGCAGAGCAACCTCTGTTGCCCACCTCTTTCAGGGCCTGCAATCCCTATTGTCTTAGTGATTCTGTGCTGAACTTGCACAGTTCAGCACAGTTTAGTTACATCATTCTTGCATAGCTATCCTGATGCTGGAAGTACTATCCACATGCAGTCTTAAAAGTGCTGGATAAAGGAGAATAGCCTCCCTCAGCCATGTTCCTGTTCTCAACCCCATTTTTCTTTCAGTGTTTTGTATGAAGGAGTCCTGCAATGAGTACAGTAATGACACTCTATAGATACTACTGAGTGAAGTTAATTCAGAAGACTTACATTCATCTGGAATTGTGAGATTTTTAAAGCTTTTCTAGTCTCGTTTTACATATTACATAAGTGTAATGCTTTGGCAGCTGCTGGATAAAATGTATGGTCAAGTACTTGACGCTGCTCTCTGAATTTGTAAGAGAGGAGTTTTAAAAACAGAATACTAGTATCAGTTTTGCAGCTAAACTTACTGTACTTCCTAGGAGCTGTGGCCTCCGTGTTCTGGGTTGATTCTGAGCTGGGAAGCGACATATATCTTGATGGTAAGCAGTGCAAGTTTGTTTTGCAACATGTTCGTATTGTGTATCTGTGTGTAGTGCAGTGTAAATTGTACATTACAATTTAATGTAACCTTTCAGAAATTGTTTGAAAGACATAATCTTGGTTTTCATATCCTCAAATTTCTTGCCAGAGATCTAGTTACTTGTTTTGATGCTTTCTGTACTGGAAAAGCTTTATCAGTTGACTAAAACAAGCAAAAATTGTGTATGTTTTGCTGACAGATTAGTTAAGGAGATATCTTGACTGTGGATTAAGGGAAAAAAAACCTCATTAGTCCTCATTAGTTGGGTATTACCAAATGTTATTTAGGTTTTATTATTTTTATTCATTGTTTTGTTGATCATTTTTATTTCTTCTGAACTCTTATCAGTATTCAGACTCCCCTGCTGTCTGTTTTTTTCTTTGTCTTTTCTACTTGTTTGTTCTAGCACTTTATCTGTTCCATTAAAATTTTAATTTTACTGTAACTTCCATTAATTAAAGAGCATGTTGAGTGTTGATTTCTTTTTTTTTTTTTCCAATGTAGAAAAAATCATAATTTTTCTTTGCTTAAAAATACCCTACTATGTTTTTGGTTAGGCTGTGAAATGCCCTTCTAGCTGGGGAAGCATTCAGTTACATTACAAACAGCTTCATCAGTTTCTGCTAGACAATTATAGAATGCTGGTCACCTAAAATCGGAATAACTATATAGCTTGATCAGTCCCCTTAGTTTGCTTTGATTGCTTGTGGGAATGTATGTCTGCCCACTTATTTTTGCTTGGAAGGAGGCAGAGAGGCATCTGTGTGGTAAGAATTTTTCTAGCCTGGTTTGATGCACTTTTTTTTTAGCTACAGGTATGTGTTAATAAAGCAGACTACTCAGGTGACAAGTGTTATGTTGAAATATACTGGAAATTTTGAAAATATTATAAGCAGTTTCAAATGTGATGATAATGTCATTTTACTCACTGTATGGAAAGCTAAAAAGTTGTTGAAGTATGCTTAAAGTAGCTAAATCTATTTTAACGTTCTCCTTTAGGCATTGTATCTGTTGTTGATGCAAAGCATGGATTGCAGGTAAGGTATTGGGTTTCTTATATGTTTTAGATGGACTCTACCCAGAACAGTTGTTGCAGTGATGTTCATTTTGTTTTTCTTTTTTTTTACAATTGTTTTAATTCTTACAATGCATAAAGATGCATTTCAGTTACTGGTGCTGCATTTTGAATGGGAACAAAGAAGAACTGATACACATGTAATTTTCAGCTTCTTATCAATGCAGCAGCATGTCTGCAAAAAGTCGTCAGGTTGCTTGATATTTGATTCACGGAATCTCAGAATTGTGGGGGTTGGAATGGACAACTGGGGATCATCAAGTCCAACCCTCCTGCTAAAGCGGGTTCCCTACAATAGGTTGCTTCTAGGTTCTGTCATTTCACTCAAGAATCTTATTTGTATTCCAAATAGACTTTTGCTATAAAAAGAGTGGGAGAGTTTTGTCTACAAGACTGAATGCTTGATCCGTATTACTAGTGGTGTGAGGAATAAGAACAGACCTCTGACACCAGGGTGGTAACTAGTGACTTAGGGCTGCAAATTGGGAAATGATGCTAGTGTAAGGGCAGCTATGGGGAGGAGAGGTTAGAGAGTTGGACTACTAGATACCATATCAGATGAACGGATGATTTAGTTACCTGGAAGTAGATTAAAACAGCAGGTAATAGAGTAATCTGTTAGCTTACCAGTGAAGTGTACTGAAAGAACAGATCTACAGAACAGTGAGGATAGGTAAGTGCAGAAATTGTGATTAAATCCAAGTAATTTAACTTTTTCATTTATAGTTGTCCATAAAAACAATTCTTTACAATGTTGTAACCTAAGCAGTAGTTACTTTGACTAGATATTGCTTTTGTAGAATTCAGAAGAAGAGTGATCATAAAATATCCCTGTGGTTAATATCACAAGAAACTGCAATGTTTTAAACCACCTCACTTTTCAGTTTAGTGCCCTCATGGTAACTTAGATGTTTTATTACTTTCAAAAGTACTGTTCTGTTCAACTTTCTCCATATGCAATGCTTACTTATTGGCTTGAATCAAATAGAGATGTCATGTAGGGCAGTACTTAACTGTTGTTTAGAAAAAATCAAACTTTTCATGTTTAAACTTGCAAATAATATGCCAGAAAACACACAAAAATGTTTTGAAACATTGAACTTTTCTATTCATTATTATCTTCACAAGCTCAATGAAAACTATTAGGTTGTTTAATTGGTCAATATGCAAAACTGACTTAAAGTATTAGAAACTTCAGACTTTCTGAATTATATGCCAGGCAGATAACATTTGCTGTGTTACAAAGTTTGATCTCAAAAGCTGCTTGTGATTCAGATAATTCTGTAAACAATACAAGTTTATAAAATACTCTTTATTTTTTCTAAGTAAAGGACAAACGGTTGGACAAGTTAAAATGATGGGGTTCTACTTTGACACATGCACTACTGACTTTGTCCTTTTACGGTCAAGAAGTCTGAGCACACTTAATTTGATAGAAGCTTAGAAATAAAAAGTCAGAGGCTTCTCTTCCAGCCATCTTTTGTTACCTTCTTTTTAGGCTGTGCACAATCAGGAGGTAGTCTTGATTTGGTTTTTAATTTTTTTTTTTTTAAAGGCAACATTGGTTGTACACGATATAGTTTTGTTTTAGAACCTGATAGTTCCACTTAAACAGTCATTTTCTACTTTTATTTAATTGATGCATTTCCCATGAAAATTAATACTATGTTCGTTTTGTTTTCCTGTGTCTTAATAAATCCACATTAAAAACAATAAATTGAAAGTAATACTCCTCATACATTTAGAGCTGGTGAAGTAATGCACAGGACTGTGTGATCTTCCCATACGAGGTGCGCTTCTGATATTAAGATGTCAATTCAAAGTTTTACATTTTCCAGATGTCTGTGATGCTTTTGTCTAAAGGATTGCTGCCTCAGCATCAGGACTGAGCAGAAAATGCCTTGTAGTAGTGCCTCTGCTCTTTAGTACTGATGTATGTTGAATTCCTGTTAGAACAGAGCTTTAACTTACTATGGTTAGTGCTGCTGACTGAGAATTGGGTGTTTTTTCTCTCTTTCACATATTCTCTGGGGGGATGTTAGCTTGGGTACACAAATATAGGACAAGGCTGCAGGTGGTAAGATACCGAACTCCTGCAGCATAATGATGTGATGGTCTTTTTGTTGGTGCTGTCTCTTCTGCCCAGTTTCTGCTTGAATAAACAGCAAACACTGAGGAGAGTCAGGCTCACTAATGAGTAGCAGTTTGTTCATAGAAACTTGGAACAAGATAATGGGTTTTTTACTGTAGATATGTAGTTTTGTAAATCTTTCAGAGAGAAGTAATATTCTTACATAATTACGAAATCTTGTACTGCAAGCCTAATGCATCTTTAACAATAGACATAAGTCATTAGAAAAAAAATATATTTTTATTCAGATATGTTTTTCTGTGGTTACTGTATATCATGGTGACTTTAGTTTTGAGATTCATGATGAATTAAACACTATAACACAGCTTTCCAACTCTTCGGCATTCTATGCAAATGATGTACTGAAAAAAAAAGTTTCCATTAAAGAAATGTTAAGCCTCTGTAATGGTGAATGTATAAACTTTTTCATCCTAATGGAAAAAAAAAATCACAAAGATAAGATACAATTTTCCTTTAATACTTTCAAGAAAGTTATACCTTGTGTAAAATGACTTGAACATTATTTGAACATGCTTAATCCACTTGTTTTAATTATTATCTAGCACTTGACAGAGGAGAAGCCAGAAGGCCTTGTCAACGAAGCGTCACGGTATGGATATAAAAACCTCATTTTATTAATTTTTATTTTTTAATTGTAGTCAGTGACTGCGCTGTGTGGAAGATCATTCAAAATTGATTCTTTTTCTTTTATAAGGTTTTCCCCACCCTTGCTTTTAAACAAAAGTAGAAAACAAAAATTCTTCAGTACTTCATTTGATCTTTCTGCTAAGATACGAATTTTCTAATAAGTAGGAAATAATCTTTATTTTCCTCCTCTTTATTTCTATGGAAACTACAACAGATAGAGTACAAATAATGGTGTTTGATAGAACTAAAGCTCAACTTTCAGCTACAAAATCAATTCTCAGTATGGTCGCCTCACCATTAGCTGTGCGTTTTTGCTATCAATGAAAAAGGCCCTGCATGCTGCACTTGTAAACATTTGCATGGCCATCTGGAACATAGCTTGTCTTTCATGTTAGTTTCTGTTGCCACTGTTGTCTACTTAAACACACAAGGCACTGCTTCACTGTGCTCACATCCACTGTTTGGCCTCCGTAAATGTCAAAGTGTCAATGAATGTCACAGGGTGCCATTTTTTTCCACAAGGGGAAATTCAGTTCTACATCCGTGTTTCATATACACTTCCAAGTGAAACATCAGACTGCTGCTTTGCTGCCATCTGTTGGACAGCAATAACATTCAATGTAATGTTGGTGGGGAGGTTCAACTTGTACTGTCAAACAAGGCATTACTTTTAGAGCAACTCTCATACATATTTAAGATAAGTGGAATTTTACATTAAAATAAATATTCGGGAGGGGGGAGGGTTGGGAAACACCTGGTACGGGCAAGGAAGGTTTACAAGCTAGGCTCTGTCAGATAATGTAAGTTGCACTGGAGATATAGAAATGTGTGTGTGTGTGTGTATATATTTAAAGCGGAGCCACAGTGATTAAAGATAATTGTAGTGATGAAGTCCTCGTGAAGAATGCATGCAAGAGAATTGGAGGTTTCTGGAGTTAATAAATTGTATGAGAATTTGGAGTAGCTGACCTCTTTTTTAAGTGGAGTGGGAGAGAATGGAAAAGGAGAAGCAAGCAAGCAACCAAAACAAGCAGCAAGGAATAATCTCAAGAAGTGCTGCAATCATTCCATGATGTTTTAGTTTGGTTAATGATTTGGTTAATGTTTGTCTTTCTGTATTGTATATGTATTGTTAGTAATTTTACAGTGCTATGAGAGACATACTGTTTCTGCCTTGCAAAAAACTATTTGTTCCAGCTGTCCTTTTTTCTTTTTCCAAATGTATAGGCAGGTTGCATTAGCTGATCTTATAATCATCAATAAAACAGATTTGGTTTCGGGGGAAGAATTGAATAAAGTCAGAACCTCTGTCAGGTATGAAACTTCTGGTATAACTGTAACATTGTACATGCTCAAGTGTTATTAGAAATTAGATCTCATGATTACTCCAACACATTGCGTAGTCAGCAGTGAAAAAGAGTCTCCCCTTTCTGGAGACATTTCCAGTGCATTTATGTGCTTCCACAGTCTTAACAGCTTGCCTAAGTAAGATTTTACATTACTGGCTAAGAAGCATGGAATTATAGAATAGCATCACAGAATACTCTTACGTTGGAAGGAACCTTCAAGGACCATTGAGTCCAATCCCTGGCTCTACTCAGGATCATCCGAAATTATAACTCTGTGTCTGAGAGCATTAGCCAAATGTTGCTTGGGGCCGTGACCACAGCCCTGGGCAGTCTGTTCTGTGCCCACCACCCTCTGATGAAGAACTTTTTCCTAACACCGAACCTGACCCCCTACTGGGGTAACTCCACACCATTTCCTTGGCTAAATTAGGCCTTAAAAAGGCCTTATGGATAGACCTTGTCTTAAGTGTCCATATCTTATACGTTCTTACACTACTGGACAGCCGTTGCAATTTTTCTGAATGAACTAGAGGGGGAAATGTCTGCTGGTACTACATGTTTATTAGCAAATATAAAGGGGTATGGAAGATACACTAAATAATTGTTTTGGATGTAAAAGAATCAGTGGTCTGAATCAAACCAGTATTCAGTGGCATGTCCCATCTTTCTCAGTACTCTGACAGACAAAACAGAATATTGAGAAATACTTTGCAACTTTATCTGTGGTTCAGTCTCAAAGAATTCTTAACCATGCAGCTTGTATGAGGAGGATTCTTGTGAGGAAAAACACTATATTCAGTAGTAATATTTTGTTGTCAGAAGTTGTGAATTTTGACCTTTGTTCAGGTATAAATAGTCACAAAAACAAACACTTTCTGGATGCCTCTTGTACAGTTCAACATTTAATAACAGTGTGGGAGGTGTTGTTATATTTCTTGTGTTGCTTTACATAGTTAAATTGTTCAATCAATATATTACAGTTGCATTTGCACCTCACTTTTGCTTTTTTCTATTTTGTTTTAGGTCAATAAATGGACTCGTCAAAATTTTGGAGACACAAAGGTCAAGGTATTAGATTGGCCAGTATTAGTAGTTCCAAATCCTGTTCCACAGACGTTATTTTTACAAAGCCTACATTATGATCTTTAGCTGTGCATGTGCGTAGCTACCTGTATTATGTTTTAGTGTGTGTGTGTGTGTGTGTTCAAAGAGGTACAGAATCATTGCTCCCATCAGAGAATTAGATATTATTCAGGCATCCCGTACAAAGGATTTCATTTTTCTGAAAATAGATTCATGGTTTTTTTTTTTTTAATTTTTATTTTTTCTAGACTATATTCTCTAAAATCCTCTTTTTATGCTTCTGTACTACTGTGCAACTCAAAGGTTCTTTATTCCATAGTAGATAATACTGACTGTCAACATCTGAAAATAGGGCTAGCTTCTGGTGTTTGATAGCACTGGAATAAAAGGCTAGAAAAAAACCAATTATTTATACATATGTAAGTGAGTAATTGAAGCTTCAGTATGCATACTCTTTACATGCAGTAAAAAATAGCATTAAAAAAAAGCTTTCTTTCTCTCCCTACCCATGCAGAGTTGATCTTTCCAATGTGCTGGACCTGCATGCTTTTGATAGTCTATCTGGAATAAGGTATGGCAATAATTTCACTTCTAATAAAAGTAGTGTTCGTTGCATGAATATGTGCATGAAGTAGATTACACTTACATGCAGGCAGACTCTATATCTGTATTTCTGTTCCAAATTCTAGTTCAGACACTTGTTTAAAATTCTCAATAAGAAATAATCAGAAACGGATGTTTTTCTACTTGAGATACATGCAGCAAAAGATTTTAGAGTTTGTAAAATGAAATGAGAGCCAAAGTGCCCGTGATTGTTCGGCATTTTTTCCCCATTTCCCTTGTTGAGATGTTAAGTTGTTCTTTATTACTAATACTAATAAATAAGATCTTGACACTTTTTCCTGGCTTTCTTAAAACTTAGAGGATTTAGTTTTTTTCTCACTTTGCATCATGATGAATTAGAGACCTTTAGTTTTAACAGAAATCTCTGAGTTAAACAGCAGCCTAAGCTTCTGGAAATGATCTTCAGTGTGTTCCTGGATCCATTAAGTCCTCAAGTTCTTTTATGACTAAGAGGCCCAGCTTTAAATTAGCAAACACTGCGCAGTGTGCAGTGGGAATTAGCTGTGGGAGTGACTTAAGTAGAAAGTGGCATATAGTATTTCACTTGATGTTACACTGCAGATTTCGCTATCACAAGCAGTGGCTTTGTACTTTTTTTTACTTCCTAATATAATTTCAAAAAATTATGTTCAACAAATGGACACATTATAGTTATTTATTTTTTCCTTCTTGCAGCAGTGTTGGAATTTACCTTTTGTTTCTACAGAGGAGTATCAATACTTGCAGTATAAATATTTTAAATACCAAAGATACTGCCATTCAGTACAATAATCTAACTGTATTTAAGAACAACAGCAAAATATAACCAAGGAATATTCATCTGTGTTTCAGATTAGTGCATGGCTTGAGTAATAATTTAGTGCTTCATTTTATTTTTAGAATTGATTCTGTATTACTGACAGTAGTAAAAATCCCACAGATATCAGAAGTTATTTTTTAGCTTTATAAGGATGTAAAAGTATAAAATGTGTGCTGGTGTATTAGAGAGCACAGTCTAAATTGTTTTTTGATCATTTTTTATGAACTTTATTTTCTAACGAATGGAAATAGAAATTAGTGAGGAACAAAACATTAAATTCCATGCTTTCACTTTCAAGACTTAGCTGAATTGACCCTTTTTAAGCTCCCTCTTACCAGTTAAAATTTTCATGTTTCCTATCTCTGCTTTCATATTTTCAAGATTGTTGTCCTCTTGCTGTGGCTGACACCCCAGTGCCAATACTATAGTTCTTTCTTCATGTGAAGTAGAATCTGACTTTTTGAGGTTGTATTTTCTTCCTCCGTTTGGACTTCAGCACTTCTGTACATGTTTCATGCTGGCTCCGTAATATTGGATCAATATGTATGAGTCAATTTGAAAATTAGACTGAATGTATTTCTGTAAGTGAATACTGTCTAGTATTCCAAATACTCTGATCAGAATATGTTTATACATCTTAATAAGGTTTTAATACAATTTTGTTTCACAGCAGTATTTTAAATTCAAACTATTACCTATTTCACCGTCTTCTATAAAAGTCCATGGTGACTTACTCTATGATTGTTAAAAGTTTGTTGGAGGACCAAACTATTAGCCTTCTTGTGAAAAAGAATCTCTAAGTCTTTCCTTTAACTTAGTCTGACAGTTGAGTTAGTCTGTTATGATTAGAGATGCTTTGTTGTCTCTTTAGCCCAAGGACAGCTTTAATCCTACCAGAAACGATCATCTGATAGGTCACTCCTTGCTCTATCACACACATAAGTTAGAATTTTTCTCTAATCTCAAAAGGAAATCTGTAATTGTTTTGTACATTATTATAGTCAAATTAGATGATTACAGTGGTAATTATAGTGGAATTCCAGCAGCTAAGCAATGGCAAACTTTCTGACACAGATCATTTGAAAAATCAAACAAATGTAATTAAACATAACTATTCTGAGATTAAAGCTGAATTAACAGTTGAAACCTATTTTGATAATGATACTTTAGTTTTGGTCTGCAGTACTGAAGAGTTTGTGTAAGTCTTGTTTGAAATAATGACACTGCATCTATCCAATGCAAATGCCACATTTACTTATTTTCAGCTTGCAGAAAAAAATTGAGAATATGAAGACAACACATGCACATCTAGATAAGGTAATTACAAAAAGCACCGCTTCTGTCTTGTTGTAAGAAGGTAGTTAAGGATAATTGCAACCATGGCATACTAATCATCTTACTTTTTCAGAAGGTTTCACTTAGGGAATAATATGTTTAAGATCTCTGGAATATTACACTAAATGCCCACAGCCATGTACTTTGATGTAGATAGATTCTAAATGTATATACTAAGTTCTACTTTCAAATATGATTAGGAGTTCCACTATTGGAAACAGTTACATTGTTCATGTACATGGAGAACACTACTAGAACCAACAGATAATACTGTTCTTTTCAATATTTCCAGAATTGAATCCTGTACTTACAGCTGATATTTATCCTGTAGGTCCAAATGGTGTCAATGTTTGTAGATATCAGGGAGTTGTTGTTCATGACGTGACGTTAACTAAGATGTTAGGCAGCCACAGATTCTCATTCTGTGAGTGCTTCCCATCGTTTTTACACAGAAAATCAACAGATCAACTTGTAACAGTGAACTAGATTTTCCTCTAAACTTGATATCAACCCTATATGTGCTTATGTGCTAGAAAATTAGAAATACTTCGGTTGATACTGCTATTAGTATGTCAAAGTCTAAAATGCTTTGTTTTTTCAGATATGTAACCCAGTGTGTATTTATGTTAGGGTAGAATCTTCTCTCTCCCTCTGTGCAATAAAACGATCCTTGCACATTGCAGTTGTAAAAAAAAAAAAATAATGCACTTTTGCCTTCATGGTTTTGTTTTATATAGAGAGCAAATACTGTATTTTGTCTGTTTTGCCCTTCTAATTTTTAATACTTATTTAAGGGGAGAGGACCTGGTCTGTCACTCCTACAAAGTATAAGCAGTTCTGTGCTAGATCAGAATCATAGAATGTCCTGAGTTGAAAAGGACCGCAATGATCATCTAGTTTCAACACCATGCTGCTTTTAAGCCTCTATCTTGTCTGTGATGCACAGGTTTTACTAGTAAGGTCCTTCCCCTCCCCTCTTTTTTTTTTTTTATTAACAAATAAGACAAACAAAGAATAATGTGTCTGTTAGATATCTGGTTTATCTGAATCCAACAGCTATAGCAGCATTGTCCAATGCTCAAATATGCGGTGAGCAAAGTTCATTTTAAATAGCATGGGCATTTCCTTATTTGGGGGGTAAAATGATGTACTGGATAATTTAGACTTTCCAGACCTTGCTTCACATCTTGTTACTGTATTTACTGAGCTGAAATTTTTCTCCAGAACTTTTATCCCCTGGTTTGTAGATACAGATACAGATGAACAGATGTTCATCTCTTAAGTTCCAGTTTGGAGGGTGGGAACAGGAAGATATTTCATCTCTTCCTGTCCCTTCTGTTATTGCAGTTTTGTCATGCTTTGCCGTGAGACTGATCTCAGACATACTTCCAACATACTTGCCTAAGTATGATGGAAGTTACTCCAGGATCAGGGGCATATCCTGCCAGGTTATCGGGTTTTAATACTAGCGGACCAAGAACGACAGTGTCCAGCTGTCAGGGCTTTTGAGCAAGGGCTTCAGTAGTAAAACCTTTTCAGTGACTCTTGTCGTTTGCCTGTAAAGGTAAGAGATTGTCTAAGCTACTGTAGTCAAGTTGCCACTTACTCCCAGTCTTGAAGACAGGGTTTTGCATGTGCGTTTTGCATGTGTACCGCTTCATCAGTCGCAGAGTCAGAGTGGTTTAGGTTGGAAAAGGCCTTAAAGACCCTCCAATTCCAACTGCCCTGCCATGAGCAGTGTTGCAGCTCACTAGATGAGTCTTGAATGCCTCCAGGGATGGATCATCCACAGTTTCTCTGGGCAGCCTGTTCCAGTGCCTCACCACCCTCATAGTGAATAATTTCTTCCTAACATCTAAAGCTGAATCTCCCTTATTTTAGTTTTAAACCCACCTCTGTTGTCTTATCACTACATTCCCTAAAAAAGAATCCTTCTCCAGTTTTCTTGTCCTTTTAAATACTGGAATGCTTCTACATGGTATCTTCAGAGTCTTCTCCAGGCTGAACAACCTTGGCAACCTTTTCAACCTGTCTTCATAGGAGAGATGCTCTAGCTATCTGATTGTGATTATTCTTGCGGCTCTCCTCTGGACTTGGTACAAGAAGTCTGTATCTTGCTTATGTTGGAGGCCCTAGAGCTGGGTCAGTCAGTTCCAGAAGTCTCTTCTTTTGCTCAGGGCAGAGTTTTCAAGTTCCCTTGAGCATTCTAGTGGGAGTGACTAGTGGGGCAGCAGCTGCAGTTGTCCTACACCACTTTCCTTTCTGAGTGGCTGCACCCTGAGAAGCAGTGCTACAATTTCTGCAACACCTTAATGTGGGCTTCCTGATAGGACTCATAGATGTTAATCTTGCTGTTCCATAGTAAATCAGATGGCTTGTCACATACATTTCCCTGAGGCCAGTTCTGTGCTTCTGTGTTTTAAGGCACTGTTGGCTAGGTTGCTGGAACTGCATTTTGAGAGTTTCCAATCTCTTGGTCTCCATTTGAAGCGTATGATAAATGCTGCATATCTCTACAGCAAGGCAGCAAACGTAGAAGTGTTGTACAAATGGTAGCTATATTCATTTTGAAACCACTGAGCTAATTTTCTTGGATACTGCCCTAGAAGACTGGCCAAGGGTATGTGAGTTTGAAGCTGTCAGTGTCCTGTGCCTTCCCAGCCATCTTAGTGTTCCTCCAGGACATTGAGAGGTCTCTACTTTTCCCAACACTTTGTACATTGTCTACGTAGATCCACACATGTGTAGCACATGCACTGCTCACACCAGGACATGTAATGATTGATTCTCTATACCAGAACCAAGGTGCCTTCCAGATGCCCCACATCATTGCAGGCATTTCAGTTCTGAACAATGACAAATCATTGTGTTCCAACTACTGTTAATGCCAGTCAGTAAAAACTTGCTGATACTGAGTTTTGAGAAAAAGAAACACGTGATGGATGATAAAGTGTGTTTATCCACTTCATGTGGAAGGTCAGCAGAAGCAATGCTGCTTTATGCATGAAGCATATCTCTTCTTTTGAAGCTACTTAAGATATTAGTGCTAGGTTGTTTTGGTGAGTATGTATGGCAGTTAGCACATCAATTCATAATTCTATCACTGGCAGTAAAAAGACTTGGTGTTACTTTAATCT